CAAAGACTAAACAAAGACAATCATCCAGGATGAGGGATGAAACCACCAGCATGCACACAGTACAGAAAGCAGAATGGGCTGCACTGAGTCATGGCCACGCAGCTAATTATATATGAGTAAAAGCAAAGGAAATCATCAAAAAATCATGATTGGTGGCCTATTGATTCATCACTGTAGAAGGCAGGACTACAGATGTGGAAGTCCTATGACAGCAATACTTACAAAACTGAAGATTAAAAAGTGTTTATAGGATTGGATCTGGTGCTTGGTCACCTGGAGATGTGGTGGTCTGGATAAGACTCATGACGTTGTGACATGAATCATAGCCACAAGGTGTCTATAAGACAATGACAGGACCCCACCTTAATTTAAATTAAAAAGGACATACCCAGGCAAGTTCCCTAGTTTTTTGTGTGAGCGCAATCTATTTTCAACCACACTCTTCCTGAGGGCAAACTTACCCTTACTATTAACTTGTCTATGCATAGTCACAATGGGTTTAAATGTCAGGAAAAATCAAATGGTATTTGAATTTAAATGAAGTTAGGGTTCTCACTATAGACTGCAGCCTTCCATAAACTAATTGGGTCAGAATTTAAGCTCTGATAGTTATTTCAATCATGTTTTGATTGAGAATGTAAAGACTGAACTTGTCACTTTTTTTTCCATTGCCCTCCAATTCAGTCAGAAGCAATCAGTCATCCTTAATATCATAATTATTTCCATAATAACATTTTATAGCAACAGCCACTTTGTCTTCCAAAACCTTCATTCAGTAGGTACTTCATTCCAGGCAATTGCACAACATAATTTAAGTAATTGATTTGCTATTGAATGCCATGGAAAAACAGTTTCTCCCTTTCAATCAGTGATGAGGTCATTACTCCTTTCATATCTAACCTAAACAAGTAACCAATTGATTGCTATCTTTGAGAGTCTGTTTCCTAGAAACACTTAGAGCAGAAAATATCATCTCATTCAGAGTTTAGTCAGAACATAGAAACCATTCTGGTACTATAAGCAAGGAAGAGTTAGAACAGAGAATAAGAATCTTAGAAAGAAATTGTTGGATGGCTGGGGGAAAAGAATGATCAAGGAAAGTCATTGCTAGTTTTAAGAAATCAGGAAGCACATGAATGGCAGGAAACTGCCTGCAATTATCCCAGCTGCCTCCCGCAACAAAGTGAGCCATTCATAAGAAAATACAAGGAAGCTGCTGACCAAACTTCACATCTGCCATATGTTTCCTTATCACTGCTATAGGAAGACTTGCTTTTCCTTCTATCCCTTCTTTTAAATTCCACAAAAGTGCTTCTTGTTAGCAGAATTTTATATTGGAATTTTTGCCAGGGATTCTGGAAAACATACTTCCCAGTTTTCCAGGCTCTAAAATACAGAGGGGAAAAAAAAAAAAAGAAATTTATAGGAATGATAGCTGGTTGAAAATACAACTCAAAGAAAAGGAAGAAAAATAATATATATGTATAAAACAACCTAATCAAAATCAGGTGTTAATTTTGGGATATCTTTTAGACGTGGAAAAAGTGATGATGAGTAGATAGGTGGACATATAACTCTTGAGATCAGGAGAGAGGTCCAGGATAGAACTCTGTAATTTCAAGTAAAGCATATAGATATAATTCAAAGTCACAGATGGTTCTGAATGGGAACTCATATGAAGCATGAGTAAATAGAGACTAGATATGTTCACTGACCATGCTTTTGACCACTCCAATGTTAAAGATTAGGAAAATAAATATGATGTAGTTATTCTTCCCAGGTAACAGAGAACTATCAGGGATTGAAGAGGAGAAAAACAAGGAGAATATGAATCCTAAATTTAAACAAATATGTTTCAGGAAGTAAGAAACCATCATTATAACAAATGCTGCTAAAAAGTTGAGTACGATGAGGATGATTAATTGATAATTGATTTAAAAAAAAAAAAAAGCTATTTTGTTCTTTCTGTAGCATGGTGGTAGAATAGTTATTATTATTATTATTTTGTAAATAATTTAATTCTAGATTAAAATATTCTGACCACTAATCATAATATAAGACATCTATAGGATGAGTGTGGGAGCTCTGGTTGCTTAGTGGCTAAGGCACTTGATTGCTAACCAGAAGGTGTTACGCCCAGATCTTGAATCCCCCAAAACCACCAAGGAGCAAAAGCATGTTGTTGTTGTTGTTGTTATTTGCCGTCGAGTCGGCCCCGACTCATAGCGACCCCTCCTTGGGTTTCCGAGGCAGTATCACTACGG